CGAGAGCTACCGTCCTGCAGCTTTTAGATGCATCCCTACTCCAACACAGCTGAATCAAATGGTTTGATTACCTCTTCAGCATGCCATCGTGTTTGGCAAAGGCCTGATAACAAGCCATTCATTTGATTCAGCTGTGTTGGAGTAGGGATGCATCTAAAAGCTGCAGGATAGTAGCTCTCGAGGACTGGGATTGGGCAGCCCTGGTTTAAACACCACACCCGACCTGAGTATTGATGCCCACCATGTCCAACACATCAAACTATGTCCATCTAGTGATGGACTGAGCTTCTCAAACTGGTTTCTTGAACACAACAATAATTTCCCTGGACTCAAAAGACCTCCACAGTCACCAGATCTCAATCAAACAGAAGACCTTGGGATGTGGTAGAACAGGAGATCATCGTGGGTGTGCAGCCAACTATGATGTTGCCATGTGGACATGGACCAAAATCTCTGAGGACTGTTTTCAGCACCTTGTTGAATCTATTCCATGAAGAATTAAGGCAAATTTGAAAGCAATAGAGTTTCAATTGGCTATTAGCAAGATGTATATAAATAGATGGCCTTTGAATGTATTACTGACCTTCCAAAAGTTGATTCTGTTCATCCGGACCTAGCGTTTTGTGGGAGAAACGTTTCGTCACTCATCCAAGTGACTTCTTCAGTCTCAGCTGACTGCAGGTTTCCCCAATCTTATAAACAGTACATTTGCATAATGACTGAAATCAGCCAAGTGAAGGAACAATGGGCTGGGAGGTCAGTTCCTTAATCCTAATTATGCAAATCTCATGACCATTGATCAACAACCACTGATCAAAGCCCACTGATCAATGGCCACGAGTATTACTGTATTATGAATATTACTGACTATTAAAAAATTACTAAGCAAACACGTACTGGTGTATGTACAGAAAAGCTCAGCTATGAGAGCTGCAAGCTGACATGAACTAACACCTCAGAGTATCATCAGACAGCATAAGCTGCAGACCTGAAATATTATGTGGTCTGATGCTGAGCAGTCTGTTTATTTTACAGAAGTTGCTATGCCACAGGAGGACGCAGCCAACGAGGCGTGAGGAAGGAGCGAAGAGGAGGAAGCTTAGCGAGCCCGAGCTGGCCGAAAAGTAAAGCTGGAAAGCCCGCGCGCACGCTTCACAAGCTGTGTGCCATGAATTAATAACCACAGCACATTAACAGTTGACAGTAATAATTATCATATTTTACTATTGTTGCAGCTGATACAACACTACTATTTGACGGCTGCAGTGAGAACAGTCAATTTGTAGTCACTCCTACTTCGATACTATGTAACTCGACTTCAGTACAGATTTTCACAGTAGGCCCGCCTGGCCTAGATCACACCAAAGAACAGCCCTCCTCCCACCCACCAGTGTCTAAAGCAAGTCAGGAGCCAGTCGTATCAAAATGACTTTTTAAAGAGGATCCTTTGAAGCCGTGCCTCTGTTAGGCCCCAGACCAGCCTCTTGTGTGGCTTCACAGCTGCAGAAGCAGCATGAAGCAAAAACAAAAGAGAGCAGCAAGGACGGAGAGATAGAGCGGCGAAGGAGGACGACTAATCTGCTGTCCATTATGTTGTTTTCATCACATGCAGTTTAAAGGAAAATGGTGTAAACGCTTTCTTGTTTTAACAGGAAAGTGATAGGACCAGTTCTCACATTTTAATCAAGCAGAGGGAGAGAGAGAGGGAAAAAACAATCACTAAAGGGGGGGCGACACAAGCACGATCACAGGGGAAGAGAAATACAGACAAGCGCGGTGAGATGTGGTAGACAGGCCTTTATAAAAAAAAAAAGGAGTGACGAACTGACAGAGAGACTGACTGAGTAAGAGGAAAAGGGCCATCGCCATAAATAAAATTATAAGGAAGGAATAAAAGAGATAGAGCGGCAGACAGTGATAGATAGGCAGTTAGATTGTGTGGGAAATGAGAGAGGGAATCGGCAACACGATCACAAGAGCGGAAGGGAAATAAGACTGGGCGTTTGGATTGAAAAGAAATGGGTAATGAGATGCTAATGTAACAACAAAGGAGAGTGTGCCCTCCGGGGGGAGCTATGCTACAGCAAGCTGCTTTAGTCTGAATGCAGCAGAGGGGGGAATTTAATTTTAAAACGCTCTTTATTAAACTACTGTAATGCACGCAGATTCATTCAGGTGCACATACAGTCATTAAAGTCAGACCAAATCTCCATCTCCAAATCCATCTCTAAGCTGAAAAAAAGAGGGGTCCTCAGAAATGGGGTAATAAGGTGGCAAAAATGGGAAGAAGCGCTCACACCCTGGTACGTAATGCCCTCCTGTCTCCATTCTGATATGAGGTAAGGTTGGGGACAAGGTCTACCGAGGACAAAATCTATCCTGAGGAGGAGCAAATGAACAAAACCAAGAGGAGCGACACAAAGAAATACCAAGAAACGATAGACACTCACGGGAAAACACAGACAGAGTGTTGGTGAAAAATGAGGAGAATAGAGACTTTGTGATAGCAGACTGGCTTTTGAGTGGGAGGAGGAGACGAAGCTTTACAATCAAAGGGGAATAATGGAGAAATCTATGGTACAAACAACGTACGGTAATTACTCAAGGGACCGAGTGCTGAATAGGAGTGATGCAGAGAGGTAAAGAATGACTGGGCAGTACTCAGGAGACCATCAAAGAGAATATAGAAGGAGGTGAAGAGCACCTGTGACAGATTCAAGCCTAGAGATATTACAAACGCACTATGAACAATTTTTTAAAAAAGGTGGAAAATCATTATAACATGTCCTCAAGAGGATCTCGAGAATGAGCGAATGCTAAAGCGCAATGAATGAAAAATAAAAGCAAGCTTAAGGCCGCGTGTAAACCTGGAGGGATCGCGAGATATTTGAGCTATAAAGAGATGCAGAGGTAACTGAGGTGTGTGCGTGGAAACAGTGCAGGCTCCGTGTGTTGGCTGAGGCACAAAGAGCAGATAAAAAAAAAGTTATAGTCACATCTCAAGAGGTTGTTGTGTTTTTGAACATATAGAGAGATGAAACACAAGGCTGAGGAAAATCCCTTTGGAGTTTCAGGTGAAGAGGTTGGGTCGTGTAGAAAAGAAAGAGTCAGCTTAATTTTTTTAAAACTGCAAATCCACAGCACTGAAATAGACTGGCGACCTGTCTAAGGTATACCCCACCTCTCAACCGATGGCAGCTGGCTAACTGGAAGAAAAAGGATGGATGGATACCACAAAGAGACCAGCTTTTCACAACATCAGTGATAGTCAGTTTAAGTTTGTCTCAGTCGGTAAATCAGAAAAATGGCCATATACATCATCAGCTCTTTGCTTGACTGAACAGCCAAGCAGTCTCCAAAAAAAATACAAATAAAAATACGTTCCCATATAACTAGATTGCTTTCTCAGTGATGTTTCAAGAGAAACCAATTTTCTCTCCGGCAAAACACCTTATAATTTAAAAGATCAATAAAGACTGCATGAGGGGGCGGATAAGCAGAATGGTGGCAACATAATCCGTGAGACTAGGGTTCATTTAAAGGCACTGTCATTATTTCACCTACTTTAGTGTCTGTTTTAATTTGCTGTTTACTTTCATTTTCACTCGCCCTTTGATTACGTTTAGGCACAAAAAGCTGTAAGTAAGTACCCATCAGTTGGATCAGACATTAAACAGCTTTTGCTTTTGCTCCAGGCGCTACCCCTTGCCAAATCCAAATTGAGTATTTCCAGTAGTGAGAGCACATCTGACACAGCGAAGCGCCTACTGTGTGATGCATATGAGAGAGGGAACCTGTGGACAATGTCTGGGCCTGATTTTCCCAACACTGTCCCGATTTCGTGTTAGCTTCCTGAAAAGAGGAGACACTATGAAAGCAAGAACACAAAGATCAAAGATATGTTGGTGACACACACGCACACACAAAAAATGCTTTCCTCAATTTAAAAATGTACATTACTTGTTTAGGAATATCATTTTTAGGGTACAGGGCCCTACTGGAGGCACTATTGTCAATTGCAAAACCTCTATTTCTAGTCAGCTCTCTATGGCACTACTTGACTAAAAAGCTTTCATCAACATTAAACATTAACATTTGATCTCATGTAAGAGTAAGAAATTATATTTCTAGGCTGAATTTAAATGCAAAGACCCTTATTTTAATGCTAAAAAGTGCTAATTTTGCATATTTTGCTATTTCTGCTGTAACTCTGAGGATCCTCAGGCTTGGAGCATGTTAACAGTAGCACAGGCTAATTGGGTTTCCGTTCTTAATCAGGCCAATTAATTAGGAAATGCAGCTTGATCCATGAGAGCTTCACCGGGTCATTTAGGGATTACAGGGAAAGAAGAAGAGTTGTGGGAAGAGCAGGAACATATGAGGGAAAAGGTCTTTGTGACAGATCCCTTCACCCTTGTGCTGAATGTTATCACTAAACGGACTCATGGACGAGGGGGTAATTACCCATTTGTGACAGTTAATCAAAATCAATCACTTCCTTCGAGAGTCACTGAATTGAAAAGTGGTTCAGCCAATTCATGCGTTTTTTCCCAAGGGACACATTTTGCTCTTCATCCACCATGAGAAACACAGGAAGAGATTGCAGAAAGCGATGCAGGAGTGAGGGAATAGAAAGCGAAGAGAACATCCACCAGCAGACGGCTGTAAAATGTGCTTTTATGTCTCCATCCGTTTGCTCTGTGTGACTCCAACTTACAGAGGTTTCTAAAATTTCCAACAAGACCTAAATACACAGCTGAATTTAAAACTTTTTTTTTTTTAATTTCTGCTGTGCTTGCTACACAGCACATCATTTTGTTCCACAGCACAAAACACATTAAACCTTTAGATTGCAGTAGATTTCTTTCAGTTATAGCTTCCAAATGATGCTCGGGCCAAATCAAGCTGAAATGTCCTGTTGTGAGTTAAGCCTGATGAGCACAGCAGGGGACCAAAGCGCTGAAATGTTGAAGAAAATGTGCCTTAACAGTCACACTCACCTCCACAAAGAGGAAGCAGGGCACGATGTAGGTGCTGGTTTTCTGAAAGCCTCTGTCTGGAGGAAGGTTCCTCATTGTCCTCTCCTGTGCTGACAGGCGACTGTCCATCATCTGTTGGGGAAAAGAAAAAGTCTCTGTAAAGCTTCAGTCTACTGGATTTATAGTGTTGAACTAATCCTTATACTGAGCCTTTGTGCAGCTACTCGCTTCATCCACTGTCTGAAAGAAGCTGCTTTAGCTCCTCACCTCACTGCTTTCCACTGACTGGCTGCCCCCTGCAAACAAATAGGTTTGAACAGCAGGTAGATGAAGGTCCAGTGCTTTATAGCCAGGACTGTGGATCTGAGCACTGTGGCAATATTGCCTCTCACTGTCATCATACAGAACCAAGAGTAGAGAAAATGATCTGAAACTGAGTGTTTAGAGCAGTTTGAGGCCTGAAAGTTTGGCTTACACTGACTATTTGTATACACACTGACCTCACGTTGTCTTACGTGTATTGAGGAGATTTTGGACAGAATCAGAGTCAATATTAAGCTTTGGCAGTGGTTAATAATTGATTTGAAATGTTGTATTTGCAAAAAAGAAACCCATCAAAGAGACTGACACTTCAGTTTGGTCACTTTCTTCAACTTTGTACCTAATATGAGTCACTAAATAGTTCTGGGCGATAAAAAGCAGTAGTTAATATAGTGCCAATCATAGAGTGGACTGTGTGTGAGTGGAAAAGCCTGTATAGCCTGTATAGTGGATTGTTGTACAGTTTTTTGTGTATCACTACATCCTGTGATGGTTTCAAATATATTTGTTTTAAAATATGCTAGAGAAAACCTCTGCAAGGCCTTACTCATAGAGAAAGAGGTCAGCATGCTAGAAAAATCGTTTTTATGCTGTTTTTGTTCGGAGAATGCTGAACAATCAGACTGCAATAAACTTTACAATGAAGCAATGTTCAAACACAGCAAAATACATTTAAAAAGCACTGCATGCTGCTGAAGTTCAGTTCAGATCTAGTGTTGTGCAAACCTTTTGAGCTACCTCTCATTTCTCTTTACTTTGCCTCTAATAACAATAGTTCTCGTGCATTTTATAACCTTTTTTGCTAAGCTACATACACTCACCTATGAATCATTCAAGCTTAAAAAAGGCACCTAACTCAGAGGGTGAACCTGTGTTGTGTCTACAGACAACTTTGCAAAGAAACAAATGTACATTTTACTGTTTGACACTTTAATTTGTTTCTTTAATTGATTCTATAAAAATACCTGGGATAACACAGCCATAAACAGTATTTTTGCACCAACAAGGTGATTTTGAAATAGCTATTAGCTGAAAACCTGGCATATCTTGAGAAAAGGTCTTAGTGGTGAGATGGCTGTCAAGAAGCCATTCTTAAGAAAGTGAAACAAGGAGAATGGATGAGGGATGCCAAATAAACACAAACTGGATTGAAAATCAGTGGCATCCTATGAAGTGATGGATCCAAATTTTTGTTTTAAATCACTGTTGTATGGAGGAGGTTAGGAGAACGATACAGCAGTGACTGTCTATAGCCATCTGCAAAACATGGTGGAGACTGTTAAGGTTTGGGGCTGCATTTAAGCCAGTGGTGTTTGTCTTGTCAAAATTTAAGAAAGTACTGTCAGATTGTGATCTACCATAAAATACCATCTGAAAAGTGCCTGATTGACATCATCTTTCATCACATCAATGATTGCGAACAGATACTGGATAGAAAACCAAACACTGGACCACTATCAGTCATAGACTAGCCTCCCCAGAGCCCGGACCTCAACATTATTGAATCAGTGTGTGATCGCCTTGACAGAGAGCAGAACAAAAGGCAGCCAGCATCCAAAGAAGAGCTTTGAATCTCCTTAAAGAAGCCTCAAGAACTTTCTTCTTATTTCTTTAAATAGTCTCAGGGAAAGCTTGTTTAAGACAGTTCAGGCTGTTTTCATATTAAATATTGACTTTCAAGCTCATTAGAATTGTAGAAACTCTGTTTTGTACTATTTACTGTATTTCATTTATATTTCTACATTTGAATAAATTCACCATTTTCCATTTTCCTGGCAAAATATAAAGAAATGACAAGCGACACAAGACTTTTATACAGTGGTGTATTTGCATGATCAATTTATGCTGCTTTATAGTTCTATGAGATAGGATGTTTAGTTGTTTTTAAATTTCTTTCATTTACTAGTATGATGATTAAACTGTTATCTCACAGCGAGAAAAGTCAAATCCGGTCTGGAGCTTTTCTGTGTGGGGTTTCTGTGTTCACCCCATGTCTCTGTGGGTTATCTCTGGCTACTGCCACGGTCTAAAGACATGCATGTGGTTAGGTTAACAGGTGTTTCTAACTTGACCATGGATGTAAATGTGAGTGGGAATGGTTATCTCTCTCTATATGTTAGCCTTGTGATAGACTGGTGATCCTGCGTCTCACCCTGGGATAGGCTCCCAGGTTGTTGCCCCCATGCAACCCTGAATTGAATAAACAGATAAAAATGGATAGGTGGACACTTACTTGCCTAAAAGTGAGTATTTATTTTGTAGAATATATAACTAAGAAATTAAGATATAAAATTGTTGATTAACTCTGTGGTATATAAAGTAGATTGAACCTACCTTTACAAAGTCAATATCAAAGTGTTTTTTACACACATCTTCTTCTGCAGCAGTCTGAGTCTTCACTGCTTACAGTCAAGGCTGAAAATGCCTCTGCACCATGCATGAATTGAGACCCTGGGTGCAGAAGGATATTTGGACTGTGATAAGAGTATGATGTTTTCTTGAAGACATACAAGAAAGTGTATTCTAATTTCTCTTATTTAATTATGATATTTAATGGAGAAAATATACATCACATGAAAATATATAAGCTGCCCTGTCTCGTAAAGATAATAAATCATTAATCAACTCCAGAAATCACTTTGTTGTCGATCCCAGCCCCGCCTCTTCTAAAATTTTCATGCAGTTTTGAATAATCTTGATTACAAACTGGCAAACAACCACCAATCATCTCCTTGGCAGACTAGTAATTTTTCATTTGACCTAAAACACAACCCCCCCTGACATTTCCCATGGTGAGTTTTTAGGGGGGATTTTTTCAAAGTATATTCTTCTTCATTTAATAATGAAAAAAATGGACCTGAAAACTCCTAAATATAATTGAGGAAAGGTTTTCTCACAACTCATCTTGTTAGAGCACCACTTCTCCTAGCATAAGAGAAAGCTTCACTCGCTATCACTTCATCAGCTCGGTGATGTGTTTCTTTAAAGATATGGCAACGCTTTTCTGGGACTAAATCTTCACAGTGAACAATAGAGGCACCAAGTGTTGTACTACTTAAGATCATTAACTATAATGAGGACACTTTTTGCCTGATGCTCACAATGCGCCATCCATCCATTAATAAATTGGCCCCTTTGAAACAGCTGATAACCCCTGTGCTTCATATTTTCATAGATAATCATGTCTGAGCACAAAGAGAGAAACCATTTATTATCTATCATCAGTAAGAATACAAAAAGATTATTCCAAAGCAAACACACAACCACAGTTGTATACATCCACACCAGCTCACTCACCAAATTGTCGGGATGCCTGTAAAGACACTCTGCATGGCACATCAAAAATGCACACAGGTACACACACGCACACAAACCAGTATGGGTAGGCAATCAAAAGAATTGGAGGGGAAATGAGGTTGAAAGGAGGAGAAGTAGAGTGGAAACAGAGGAGCGATGATCAAAAACAAAAGCCTGACAGTAAGAGATAAGAGCGAGACAAAGTCCTGATGCAGACGTTCGGAAACTCTTCAGAAATCAAGCGGGTGGGGTGAAAGCCAGCAGACTCAGCAATGGGAAATTATAGTGACTGAGGGATAACAGGTACACGCTGAAGAAAAACAGATCCAGTCCCCAAACTGAGAAGAGGTGGTAAGGGGGGGAGATGGTGATAAAAGTCAGAGTAAGAAGAGTAGCTTATGAGTTGCTCAGGGGTTTGTGACATGCAAATGACTGCGCTCATGCTAAATAATGACAGCTACTACTCTTTTAAGTTTAGGAGAGCCTCAAAAGGCTTTCCAATATATCCTCTGATTAACACAGTAAATGCATTTTTCAAGAACTGTGAAATCCTGATATTATCAATCATAAAGCAAAAGGCTTCAGCAATCTTCAATATAATTTTACTCACTCGCAAACCAATTGGTTTTCCTCTCAGATATCGAGCTTAGCCCCCTCCCCGATCTCCCTGACAACAATTATCTTGCTGACTTTATGGCTTAGTGAGAGTCTCTGCTGCCTTGTCAGCCCTTTCCCCAATCAATGGTCATTATGGGTGAGAGGAGAAGGAAGGCACTTCACAAGTTTGGAGTGTGTCCATGCATTCGTTGTGCACTTGACCCCCTATCAGTCACATCCTAAAATGATAGAAGCCAGATTAAAAATAAAATAAGAGTAAAAACAAGGTAAATGATTCATTCCTGTTTACACAAACACTAAAAATACACCATCTTGTTATTCGTGACGGCGATTCAAAGTGCACATTTGCATGACGAACAGGAGCACGGCAGTTAAACGCTGTCATAGTATGCATAGTAGAGATACAATATATGCATTAATAAAGAAAGAATTAAAGATGTAATACTCTGACAACCCGGAATTCATTTAGATCTTCTCTCATCTTTAACAGCTTTTTTTCCCCTAGCAGATAATTTAAGCTCATACATATATGCTATCAAAGCTTTTTCGGACTTCTGAGGCAGCAACAAGATAAGATTTAAAGAACTTATTTTTTTTATATAATCATCTTATGCTGTGAAAGGAGTGAAAAAATTATATTTTTGTCACTTTAAACATGGAAGATTTCTAAATTAAAATTCCCAATTTGGGCAAAAATCACCCTCAGGTGACATTGTGCACAAACTTAAAGAATCAGTGGTTCCTCTGCAGTTATCAAACATCATATCCCGCTATTTATAGACCTGAATGAGGCTTGTTAATGACCAAAAATTCTTATAATATTCAAGAATTTCCTTCAGACATGTACGCTTAATGAAGAAACGGACACAAGTATTCATGCTGTGGTTCATATAAATGTATTTGATTCTTTAATTTCAAGGCCACCTGTCTGCTTCATTAATTAAACACTATTCCACTGTAAGGTTCTGCTTCAGAGCATGAAAGACAAGATTGTTTAGGTTATGGCAGGAGATCAAAAGACTGTGTATTGTATATGCATACATTCCCACACAGGGGGCTGCATGCTGTAAATACTGTATTTGGGTCTTCTTTTATGTTCCCATCTTCCAAAGCAGTGAGAAGCAATCAGGCATAAGGCAGCTGTGTCTGATTGTCTTTTGTGTTGCTGTCCATGTTGCTCACAATGATTTTTTTTCACCCTTAAGCCTTGCATTGGTAGCACAGCACAAAAAGAGTTAGTCACTATCTCACACATTGCACAGGTGTATTCACACATTTGCGCCGGCTGATATTCATGCAAATGTGTGCACGGGCTAATGCGTGCACGCATACAACTGACCAGTATTTCAATATTCATAGCATGTCAGTTTGGATGTCAGTCCAACAAGTGGTGTCACACAGCTGCGTGCGAGTCTGTGTGTGTGTGTGTGAGAGAGAGAGAAGGAGAGGAGAAGAGAGATAAGAGGAGAAAGAAGGAGAGAGAGGGGAGAGAGACATCCTACAGAGAATTCCTGCTGTGCTGCTCCTCAGGTTCAACAATGTGGGTCACACTGATGCACATCTGCACTCACACTTTTTCCTTTTCGCTCTCTCTTGCACACACACACACCCACACTCATGCAAATTTAGGAACAAAATGTTTCCCAAAAGAGCCAGAAGAAAAAAACACAGCAGTAACTGGTTTGAAAAAGTCTCACCTTCTATGTCTTTTTGTTGGAAGCAGTGCTGCTGCAAAGTAACGGCTGCCACCTCACAGTTTCTGTCTCTAGGAGGTTGTGCTCCTGCAGCGGACTTCCATTCTGAGGTTTTGTTGTGGTCTCAGCTCCGCTTCTTTCTCTTTTCCCCTTCTCGTCTCTTTCAAAGCAAAAACGCCCCTCACTTCCGCCGCTCCGCCACTGAGAAGCCCTCGGCGGTGAGTGTGAATAGAGAGAGATAGAGAGCTTGCCCGCTGCCAGGCACTCTGCCTCCAGCCAGCCAAGTCTATATCTGTCTGCACTCTGCCGCTAGGTCACTAAGCTAAATATGATGATCTTCAACAGCACTTCAAGGCTAATTAGTCAAGTGAAGGGATCCACGGGCTTGGTGAGGGAGCCTGCTCAGTTGCCGGTGGATATGAGGAGAGGGAGAGAAAGAAAGCGAGAGAGAAAATGTGTGTGTGCATCTGTATGCGTGTGTGGAAGAGGAAGAGGAGGAGGAGGAGAAGCAAAGAGGAGAAGAAGAAAAAACAGAGTTGGAAGAGGGAACAAGAGAATGAGAAGGCAGGAGTGGAGACTGAGAGTAGAAAGCAGCCAGAATGTGTATGAGAGAGAGAGAGAGAGCAAGAGAGAGAGAGAGAGAGAGAGCATTAGATAAAGAGAGAAGGAGGGACTGTATGTGTGTCAAGCAACACAGTGGCTAAAATGGTAGATCCTGTGCACTTTAGTACCCTAGGAAACCACTTTGACACAGGAAGACATCATGTACTCTGTGAGAGCGAGTGTACCGTTGTGTGTTGTGTAATTATGGTAAAGTGGAAAGCCAAAGCAATGGAGAAAAAAAATAAACTAATGGTATGGTGCCATTTCGTATGTGTGCGTGTGTGTGTGCTTTTGTATCTAAATTCAACGGTGGGTTCAGGTGAGCTGCAGGGACTTGGCTTTGGACAGTCAGAAGTAGGTTAATGATGCATCGTCAAGCGGAAAAGTGGGATGCATCCCCCACACGCTTCAATGTAGGTCACGGGCCTTCAGGTGAAAGTTCACGGGCAGCTTTCTGGGCTATTGTATGTACGTAAGAGCACACTGCATAATTTTTAATAAATTCTGCCTCCCTCAGGGCTAAAACGAAACCTTGTGCATTTCTGTGGCCGCGCATGCATATACATGTTGATGTGCTGGTAACCTTTGGTAAATATTTAGACATGCTGCAGAGGCTGAACTGTTGGACCACTGTGAAATAACCAGGCAGCACTGTTGCACAGGTCTGTACTTCTTTGTCTCATATAGGCATCGCAATTACATTCATCAATGGGTGGACGTAGCCTGCACAGATTATATTGTGAGCTTATACTTTACTTCTTTATGCTGTAGTGTCTTGTCTTGGCTGGCTGTTCACACTGACAGAGGACGTGGCGTCCACTGAAGATGCATTCGGACTACTGGCACATCATACAGCTGCAGCTTCACATTGACTGCAAAGAAAAAAATGACAAAGACAAGAAAAAAAGATTGTTGTTGCATTCACAGACACACAGAGTTCTGAAACAGAAGGAACTCCGATAATTCATATTTCAATCATACATACTAGCACAAACACACACATGCACATACAAAACCAAACAACAAAAAAACACCTAAAATCATAACCTTTTCTAAATGCACTGTAACAAAATTTGTGTTCTAAGTTTCGTTTTGTTGTTGACAGAATTTGCTGATTTTGTTGTGGCTATGTGGGCTTCCTCTGGGGCTCCAACCCACTCTAACTTGGATAAGAAACAAAACAAAACAGTGATAGATATATTTAAGTGTTTTTAGTCCTTGTCAGACACACACACACACACACACACACACACACACACACACACACACACACACACACACACAACAACAACAACAACAACAACAAATACATAATCTCAGAGAGATTGAGAGAGCTTTTGATCTGAAATTACCAATCCATTTTTCAAACCTCTTCCTTTTAAATTTCCACCCACTACTTCCAAAACCCCACCCTTAGATGACAAGCTGAAACCAACCTTGTTTACGATATCTGCATCCCTCTTAAATATATAAAAGCAAGGCAATAATAGCAAATTGCATCTTGAGACTATAGCATTATGATGAATGAAATCTAAAGAGAATAAAAGAATAAGTAAAGGTGTTTGGCATCCCTATTGCTAACACAGTTTTTTGAATACATCTCCGTCGTTAACAGGAAGCCACCCACCTTTCTAATGCACTCAAACGAATCATTCACAGCTGGAGAGGGACAACGGACCACATATGGTAAAGTGTGTTTCTTTTTTTCTGAAAATCAGAGATAATATCACGTGGTGTCACAGAAGTCATGGTTCCCATGGTAACTTAATACATTCATTGAATGGTATATCAAGGAAAGGAATGTGAATACGCAGAAACGTGTATGCTATTACAGCACAAACGCAATGTAGATTCAACAAGTGCCACTTAATAATGACCTTGCCTTAATGACACCACTTGTAAAACACACACAGGAAAAAAAAAACCACTTTAGCAACTAGCCTAACTCACTGCTCTCGGAAGCAACAAAAAAGTGTTGGGCATGAAAAAAAAATAAATAAAAGAAAATCATATCAATAACTGCACAGCTAATAAATCTGAATTAAAAAAAAAAGGATAAGTGGATTTTTTTTGCACAGATACAAATTTCCTGTCACCACAGCACCTGCTTCCTGCGAGGACATCATAAGAACTGCAGTATTTTTTTGTGACTACATTAATATCTATCTTTTATAATCTCCCAAAGGAGAGCTACTTTCATCCATCCCATCACTTTAGCCCAAACACTGCAGGTGTACATTTTTCTGTAATATCTCTTCTATGACAGCTGATGCTTTTAGATATGCCCTTCTGGTCTAATACCACAATGTATGTCTGACTAACTTAGATTGCATCACGCTTTCTAAGAACAGAAAAAGCACGAAAAGTTGACAAAGTCAAGGGCAAAACAAGCAAGGTAAGACACTGCAGAGCTCTTTAAATAGAGCAAGCACACAGAGGTGGGCGTGTGTAGCCTGCAAACACTGAGACACACAAGTGCAGTGGACATGCACACAAACAGAAACACATGCAGTACACTTATCATCTTTACAGTCATTTTGAACACACTCCTTATAGCCCCATCTATAGGAACTACAGCTTTGTGTTTACAATAGACTTCACAAATCTTTATTAAGTTTGCAGCTAATGTTTTATTAGAGAGCGGCAGGATCTAAATCTTCACAGGTCACAGGTTTGCACTAGAAAGGACTTTTCAGGCATGGAAGTAATGTAAAAACAGTCATGTGATGCTGATAGCCTAATCAGCATTCACATCACAAGTGGATCACATGACTGTTTGAATACAGGTGATGGTGAATAAAGGTGAAGCTTAACATTACTTAAATGCTTGACAACACACACATAAACACACACACAATTGTTTGCAAGCACCTGATGAAGTCCAAAGATTTACTCCTTCACTGTCACATCTTATGTCAGCACTGTTTTCAGCCCCAGGTTATACCTTTGTGCTGACAAGCGTCTGCCCTGTTAATGTTTGCCTTAACAACTGTGCTCACACTGGTTTGTTAGAAGACACAAGGTGTTTTCACCAATGAACCGCAACCCCAATGTTTTCTAGATACAGAGCATCTGATGACCAGGGTACATGTAAAAACAAAGTCTCCTACTCAGTCAAATGGAAACTAGCCAGTCTTTATCCTGTCAGTTGTTTGTGTGATGCTGGATTGCCAAAAATGTATGAATGAAGTGTATTATTTCGTGCTGTTTGCTACAACTGTGGAAAGTACCTGTTTACCTGATTATGTGTGAGAACACCTACACGGCAAACAACCTGGCTGAACCTCACTGAGATAATTCTGTCTCTTAAAAACCACAAAACCCTGTCAGTAAACCGCCCATTAGAAACCAGTGTTCCCACTTCCTCTTTACATTTGTATTGTGTTTACATAAGCACGCAGACAAGAACAGCGCTTTTTTCAAACTATGCCATTAAAACAGATGCAGGCAAACAAAGAGCCGTGCTGGTACTTCTACACGTGAACACAAAGGTACAAAAAGCCTGTGCATGCAGTATTGTTAAAGAAACGCTGCTACCCTGCCAAATGCCTCCCCTACAAACACAGACAAAGGACTAGTTGCTGTATTGTTATCTATATGATTTTAGCCTGCGTGCTCCCTCTCTCTCTCTCTGGTGTGGTGTGAAGACTGTATCTTGGGGAATTAGAAGTAGGACGAGTCAGTGGATGCACTCATTTCATATAATATCACTGTAGGGGATCACAGCCAAGGACATTCTTACTTCAAATTGCCATGGTAGGGACTTTCAGATATAAAGAATTAATCAGATTTTAAGCAAAATGGGATTATAAAGAAGAGACAGCACAGGTCAGCTAAGCTGTGATTCATGAGGCTAAAATACATCTCTAAAGAACTTGTTACGCTTGGACATCAGGGGTTCATACCCTACATTTGGGAAAATTAAAAAAGCAATTAATGGCGGGAAAATGAGGATGAAGTATATGTAGTATAAATGAAATATGACTAAGCTGTAATGATACATAAAAATAGCTTGGCCTAGTTTTATTTCATGGGTCTATAGAGTAGCTGAATAGCGCCTTTGGTCTGTCCTTTCTGTCACTCATAAAATTATTTTATCACTGATATAAAGTGCCCAGAGACTTTTTCACACGTGAACCATAGATAATGTCATGTGAATCAGGTCAAGACACTGTCTGAAGCTGTCCTTTCTCACATGTGACAAAGAGCCGGAGCTAGATTGCGTCAGCTAATGGGAATACATCGTTGAGTTGCAATGAGCAATGGGAGTACAGGAGCTACTCAGTAGCTGTAAATTTACTGGACTAAAGGCACTATCGGCCCAACTTTGCACAACTGGACTCACATGTATTTTGTACTAGGGAACTGGCAGGTTAAAGACTGATTAATGGGCAGTCTCCCTGAGTCAGACATTAGTATTTTCCCGTGCACTTCCTCTTAATAATGTCTAGAAAAATCTACTGCAGGGCACATGTGAAAACAACTTTAGTAAGGATTTTGGGCCCAGTGCCTACCAGCTCACCAAAAGTGCACCTTGAAATAGATTCTGTCCAAATTAACACACAGATCTGGTGACTGTGAAGATGATAGTGCATTAGATTTTTGGAGGTTAAACGAAATTAGTCTTAATGGAGCTTTTAGGATGATGACCTTGGCTTTCTTGTGGTGCCTGGTGTTTTGGCTCCTTGGTAGACACAAGGACAGCCTAGCTGCTTGCCGACAGTGCAGAGACATACTGAGCTTCTTTATCTGGAAAGCTGATATATAAGAAGGGGTATGTGACACTGTCTGAGATTAGGACTTCAGAATGGTATAACCGTGCCTGCTTTTCACCCTTTTTCCTTGATATGAGGCAATATAT